CTCTAAGGTCTATCTCTCCTAACATCTCTCTGTATCTCTCTCCCCATCTCTCCTCCACCTCTCTCCCTAGCTCACCTCCTCCCCCCCCTTCCTTATCTCTATCCCTATCTCCACCTTTCCTACTATCTCTCTTCAGTCTCTCCCTATCTCTTCTCCTGTCTCTCCCCTGATCTCTACATATCTCAACCCCTATCTCTTTATCTCCCTCTCCTATCTCTCCCCCATTTCTCTCCTGCTATCTCTAGGCTGTATCTCTCCCTATCTCTCCCTATCACTCATCCTCGCTTCCCTTCTCTCTTCCCCATTTCCCTATCTCTCTCCTGCTATCTCTCCTCCAATCTCTCTTCCTATCTCTCCTGATCTCCCTCTCTCTTGCATCTCTTGCCTGCTACTTCTCCTCCTATCTCTCTCCATACCTCACTCTCTCTCCTCTCTCTCCTGAACTGCTCCTATCTCGCCCCTATCTCCCCCCCCCCATCCTCATCTCTCTCTCTCTCTCCCCCTATCTCTTCTCCACTCTCTCTCAGGTTCTCCTGATCTCTCTCCCTATTATGCTCCCCTATTATTTGTCCTCTCTCTCCCCCTCTCTCCCTCATCTGTCTCCCTATCTCTCTCCCACCTTTATCCCTCTCTCCTGATCTCTCCCTCCCTATCTCACCATCTCACCTCCTCTCTCTCCATCTCTCTTCCTATCTCTCTCCTGATCTCTCACTATCCTCTCTTTATCTCCATATCTCACCTATCTCTGTGTATCTCTCCTTCTCTCTCTAAGTCCTACTCTCTCTCCTGATCTCTCATCTTCTCTTTCCTCATCTCTCCCCTCATCTCTCCCTCTCTCCTAAGGTCTCTCTCCCGATCTCTCCTAACATCTCTCTGTATCTCTCTCCCCATCTCTCCTCCACCTCACCTCCTATGTCTTCTCCTGTCTCTCCCCTGATCTCAACTCCTCTCTCTCTCCCAAATCTCTCCCTTCTCCGACCTCTCCTCTCTCTCCCCTTCTCTCTCCCCGCCTCTCTCCTGCTATCTCTCGGCTGTATCTCTCCCCCGAACTTTCCCCTTCTCTCGTCACATCTCTCCTCCTCTCTCTCCTCCTATCTCTGCCCCGATAGCTCCTGCTCTCTCTCCACTGTCTCCCTATCTCTCCTTCCATCTCTATCCCTCTCTCCCCTCCTCTCCTCCTGATCTCTCCCCATCCTTCTCCCCATCTCTCTCCTCTCTCTCCCCTTATCTCTCCCACTATCATTCTCCCTATCTCTCTGCCTCTCTCTCTCTCTCTCCTGAACCCTCCCTCTCTCTCCATATCTCTCTCCTGCTATCTCTCCTCCTACCCCTCTCCCTCTCTCTCTCCTGAACTCCCCCATGTCTCCCCCATTCCTCTCCCTCTCTTCCACTCTCCCCCAAACTTGCCCCCATCCTGCTCTCTCCACCTAGCTCTGCCCCATCTCTAGCCCTAGCCCTCCTCCTGTATCTCTCCGTATCTCTCCCCCATCTCTATCCCTGTCTCTCTCCCCATGTCTCCCCATCTCTCCCTTAAAACCGCCTCCGTTCTCCCGATTTCGCACCCTCCATCTCCTCCTCTCTCTCATGATCTCTCTCCCTACCTTGCTCCCTATCCCTCGTCCTCTCTCTCCTCCTCTCTCTCCCTATCTCTCCCCTCTTTATGTCTCCCCATCTCTCTCCTGCTATCTCTCGGCTATATCACTCCCTATCTCCCTCCTATCTCTCCTCCTATGGGTCCCCTTCTCTCTCCCGTGTCTCCTCCTATCTCTCTCCCTATCTCTCCTCCTATCTCTGTCCCTCTCTCCTTAGCTCACCTTCTCCCTCTCCTGATCTCTCCCCGTCTCTCTCACGACATCTCCCTATCTCACTCCGTATCACTCGTCCTCTCTCCCCTCCTGTCTCTCCAGCTATCATTCTCCCTACCTCTCTCCCGATCTCACCTCCTCTCTCTCTCTCTCTCCTGCTCTCTCACTATCCTCTCTCCCTCTCTCCTTATCTCTCCCCCTACTTCTCTCCCCAACTCCTACTATCTATCTCACCTCCTATATCTCTCCCTCCCTATCTCTCCTAGTATCTCTCCGTATCTCTGTCCCCATCTCTCGTCCACCTCTTATCTCTTCTCCTGTCTCTCCCCTGATCTCTACATATCTCAACCCCTATCTCTCCCCTTATCTCTCCCCCAACTCTACCTATCTCTCTCCTGCTATCTCTCCTCCCCTCCCTCTCATGATCTCTCCCAATCTCTCCTCCATCTCTCCTACTATCTCTCTCCAGAGCTCCACGGATCTCTCTCTGTATCTGTCTCCCTATCTCTCCCCATCTTTCACCTTATCTCTCCCCCATCTCTACCTATCTCTCGGCTACATCTCTTCTCCCTATCTCTCCCTATCACTCATCCTCTCTCTCCTCCTATCTCTCTCCCAATCTCTCCAACTATGTCTCCCTAACTAGCTCTGCAAATCTCTCTCCCTATCTCTCGTATCTCTCTCCTGCTATCTCTCCTACCAACTCTTTCCTGATTGCCCCCATCTCTCTCCATCTCTCCCCTCCTGTATCTCTTCCTGTCTCTCCCTACGTCTCCTCTCCTATCTCTCCTCCACCCTCTCATGATCTCTCCCAGTCTCTCTCCCTATCACTCATCCTTCTCTCCTCCTCTCTCCCGATCTCTCCTACTATCTCTCCAACTCTCCCCCTATCTCTCTCCCTATGTCTCCTATCCCTCCCTATCTCTCTACCTATCTCTCTCCTGCTATATCTCTCTCCATCTCCTCCCTATCACTCATCCTCTCTCCTCTAGCTCTCTCCCAATCTCACCTTCTCTCTCTCTCTCCATATCTCACTGTCTCTCTCCCTATGTCTCCCTTTATCTCTCCCCCATCTCTACCTATCTCTCCTGCTATCTCTCAGCTATCTCTCTCCCCCTATGTGTCCTCTCCTCCTATCTCTCCTCTTCTCTCTCCCGATCTCTCTTCCTCTCTGCCTATCTCTCTCACAAGCTCTCCAACTATCTCTGCAAATCTCTTTCCCTCTCTCTCTCCTGCAATTTCTCCTCTTATCCCTCTTCATCTCTCTCCCCCATCTGTCTCCCTATCTCTCCTCCTATCTCTATCCCTCTCCCTACTCACCTCCTCTCTCTCCTGATCTCTCCCGCTATCTCTCTCCCGATCTCTCCTGATCTTTCACTATCCTCTCCTCCTACTTCTCTCCCCAACTCCTGTCTATCTCACCTCCTCTATCTCTCCTGTCTTCCTTATCTCTATCCCTATCTCTGTCTCCATATCTCACCTCCTATCTCTCCATCTCTTTCTTTCCTACTGTCTCTCTCCTGTCTCTCCAGTGATCTCAACTCCTATCTCTCCCCTTCTCTCTCCCGCATCTCTCTACCCATCTCTCTCCTGCTATCTCTCGGCTGTATCTCTCGTCCTAACTCTCCCCTTATCTCGCCCTGTATCTCTCTGCAATCTCACTCCCTGTCTCTCCTCCTCTCTCATGATCCTCCTGATCTCCCTCCTTCTCTCTCCTACTATCTCCCCCATCTCCCGGCTGTCTCTCCCTATCTTCCCCTATCTCTCCCTCTCTCCCTGACTCTTGTATCTCTCCTGCTATTTCTCCTCCTACCCCTCTCCCTAACTCCCCCATCTCCCCAGTCCCTCTCCCTATCTCTCCGATCTCTCTCCCTATGTCTTCCCCCTTAAAACCTCCTTCTGCTCTCCCTATTTTGCACCCTCCATCTCCTCCTCTCTCTCTCCCTATCACTTGCCCTTTCTCTCCTCTCTATCTCTCTAGCTATGTCTCTCTGCTATCTCTCCTTCTATCTCTCCCTATCTCTCTTCCTCTCTCGCTCCCTATGTCTCTCTCCCTACATCTCCTCTCCTCTCTCCCCCCTTTATCTCTCCCTAGCTCTCCTACTATCTGCCCGTATCTCTCTCTCTCTCTCTCTCCTGCTCGCTCTCCCTGTCACTCTCCCATCTTGCTCCCTATCACTCGTCCTCATCTCTCCCCTATCTCTTCCCTATATCTCTCTCCTGCTCTCTCTCCTCCTATCTCCCTCTCCCCTGATCTCCCTATCTCTTGTATCTCTCTACTGATCTCTGTCACTCATCCTCTCTCTCCCTCTCTCCTCCTATCTCTCTCCTGCTATCTCTCGGCTATATCACTCCCTATCTCTCTATCTCTCCTCCTATGGGTCCCCTTATTGCTCCCCGTCTCTCTGCTATCTCCTCTCCCTATGTCTCCTCGTAGCTCTCTTCCTATCTCCAACTATCTCTCCCTCACCTGTCTCCCTACATCTCCTCTCCTCCTGTCTCTCCCCTTATCTCTCAGCTTTATCTATCCCCCCATCTCTCTCCCATCTCTCCTATCTCTCTATCTCTCTGCCTCTCTCTCCCCCATCTCCTCTCTCTCTCCATCTCTCCTCCTGTCTCTCCCCCTCTCTCTCCTGCTACTTCTCCCATTCTCTCCCCATCTCTCCCGCTCTCTGTCCTCCGTCTCTATCTCCCCTCATCACTCAGCTCTCTGCCCTCTCCTCTCCATCTCTTCCACCCCATCTCCCTTTCTCTCACCTCCCCTCCAGCTCTCAGCCCCTCCCTTCTGTGTCCATGTCCCACTTCTCTCTCGTCTCTGGCTCCTGGTGGGGAGCACGTGCTCCCGACTGGGCGAGGAGACGGGCTCCGGGCTCCTCCGTGGAGCGGCTCACAGCCCGTGAGGTGAGCACACGCCCGGGACAGACCTCTGCAGCGCGGTGGGCGCGGGCCCTGGAGCTTGGCTAAAGCCCGTGTCCTCTCTCCTCTCTCAGGTTCCGGGGTCACCGAGGAGGGGCGAGGCGTCCTCCCCCAGGCTCAGAGGGTCCCGAGGCCCGTGTCTTCTTGACCTCTGGCGCCCGGTCCTTTCACACTTTGCACTCCGGCTACTAAGGGTTTCTGTACAAAGCCGACGCCTCCTGAGGGCAAACACACACCAGGTTACCCGGGGGCGCGCTCCACAGAGGGACACGACAGGGCAGGTAAAATGTTTATTCACGTACAAACTAGGAAGGCGGCGCGAGAATGTGGCGGGAAGGGCACGCAGGGCACAGCGTGAAGGCCACGTCCCCGGAGGGCAGAGGGGCCAGCCTCCCTGTGTCCCGGAGACTCCAGAAGGGTCCGTGGGCTAAAGGGCCGCCAGTGTCCCCGGGACCAGGCACTCGCTCTGCGCGGGGAAGCGCCACTGGAGCGGTGCCAACGCCAAAATGAGTGGCGGCCTCCATCAGCGTCACAGCTGCCCTTCGGTGACAGGCCTGCTGGGGCTTTCTCCCCCACGCCATCCCTCTGGGCAGGAGCGGCCGTGGGGGTGCACGGGGCCCCACGGTGAAATGAAGCTCCTCTGTCTTGCCCTCCGCTCTCCACCCCACTGGCATTGTGGGGTGTAAGGCACTAGAACCGGGTTGGAGCAAGGCGCTCTCAGCTCCAGTTCTTGGTGTGCAAAGGAAATCCTGGCTAGAGCTTTCGGAACAGACGCTAAAAATATCCTCCCACCCCTTGTCATTTCTGACCTTGGGAGGCAGAAAGAGGAGGCGGCAGGAGGTTTGCAAAGGATGAAAACAGGTGCATGTAAATACGAGAACAGTGGCGCACAACCCGCGTTCGTTCCTCACGGGTGCTCTGTGCCGAGAAGTGAAGACTCGTACCCCAGGACCCACCTGGTGGGTAGTGGACAGTGACGACACATACAAAAATACTCACTGCTCTGGAAAAATAGTGCATCTGTAGTGATGAGGGCGCGCAGAGGCGAACCCTGACCGTGAAGGAGCCTGACAACTCAGCACCGTAAACGGGGTGGGGGCGGGTCGGTGCCAGCTGACCCTCGCTCGCTCACTTACTGCGGATGGACACCCGAAACTCTCCTCTCCCGCTGCTTCCTCACATCGGGCTGCTCCGGTGTGAGGTGAGTGTTTCACTCATGAGAAATCCTCCCAACTCAGGTTGAGAAATGCTGCTTCTAGCCAAGTCCGAAAGCGCTCCAGGAGGGGCGTGCGCAGGAAGGTCGAGTACCGCCCACAGATCCTCTCGGGTAGTGAGGGGGTCCTCGCTGGCTACACTGGCCGAGCAGCAGAGATTCAGAGGTGAATCTGGTCGCTGACTCCTGAACGCAGCAGCGCAGCCCCCCGAGGATGTGCCGGCGGGTTCAGACCTGAGACGGCAGGGTGAGCTGAGGCTTCCCCTGCTCTGGTGCGCTCATGCTCCCCCTGCGTCAGACGCGGCGGGGTGTCCACGTGCAGAGCGAGCACACGGGCGGGGCCTTGTCTTCAGGGAACAAACCAGTCCTCGAAAGCTGCTGTCATCCCTCCACTTACACGGCGGCGGGAAAGGGTTGGCGTTTCCAAGGCATGGAAAGGCAGCATCGCAGAAGGCTGGAGTTATTTTTCACTGAGTTTACTTTCCTGGGGACAGTGCAGGAAAGGAGAGCACAGAAAATTCGGGGCCTGCACAAGGAGATGCGAGCAGATGTGGGAATGCCCAGGCTCCACCTCTGCAGAAATGGGGCCTTTGGAACAACGTGAAACCAGGGTCCAGAACTGGACAGAATGATCTCTGGACCCCCAGCGTGGATGGCAACACCTCCTCGCGGGGCCCAGGGGCTCCCTGACGAGCAGTAGAAACAGGGCCTGCGCATGAGGAGAGGTTTTCTGAGCGCGCAAGACGTGGTGATGGATCATTTCAGAGAAAAGTCCCAGCCCTCACAGGCCCTCAACTCTTAGAAGAGGATGAAGACAGGCCAGGACCCCACCGCCCCGGGGACAGAAACGACACAAATCGACACTTGGTCTAAATGTAGAAAATACATTTTAGGATCAAATATGGAAAAACACCAGATCCACACACCTCTGGGAAGACGAGTTTTAAAGCGCCAAGATACACGTGTTTCAAGCAAGCGATGTCCCAGCAGAGAATCATGGTGCCTGTCTGAGGAGTATGACCCTGTTTATTATGGATACGATGTCATGGATGCCTAGACCAAGAACTTCTTTTGGATCCAGGCTGTTTCTCACTCACAGAGATGGCGCGGGAGTGCTGCGGCGCGTGGCCACCTGACTGCGTTGTCCGTCCACGGGTGAGTTGCGCCCTCCTGCTGACCCCAGCCTGGCTTCCTACTCTCTCAAGACCCTCACTGCTCTGTTTCTCGCCAGTTAAATGCTCATCTGCTCCAGAAGAGCGGCCTCCGCTAATCTTAAAAGGGAGGACACTGAAGTGAGTAATGAAGCAGGAGCAGTTTGGCTGGGGAGAGGGCAAGAGACGCCAGGAGGAGCCAGCGTGATGAAATGGGTGCGCGCACATTCTGACTGCCAGAGCAGGCAGATACCTGAGAATTTTAAGCTGCTCTAATAAAATGAAAGGATCTGGCAGAGCTAATGCATCTCCAACAGCAGCTGCCCGCCATCAGATTAGAGCAAGGGGAAATTAAGTGTTGGGATGAAAAGCAGTGTCTCAGCCATAGAAAGCAGAGACAAAAAAGTGTACAGGGTCCTCTTGGGGTACCCCAAGTCATTTTCTACTCTGTAAGATATGGAGAGATGTGGGGGAGCGCAGCAGGACCAAGACCGTGCCCACAACGTGGAGCGGCGGGCCCGTCTGTGCTGGAGGAAGCAGAGCCGAGGTTCTGGCACCCGCCCAGCCAGCGTGGTTAGTTCCTTGGCCCGGACAGAAGGGAGAGAACCGGACGCTGAGCTTGCGGGCCTGGGCGGAAGGGGCTGGTGAGGCTGAACTAACAAAGACAGAGAAAAGCAGCCCTGTATGAACAGGACACTCAAAATCGCTGGCGATGCACTTTCCAAAGGTAGACCTCTGCAGCCGAGAGCGCAGAAGGCAGCACGGCTTCCTCCCTTTCAAACACAGTGACTTGTTTACTCAGCGACATAAAATCCCTTACTTAGAGATTAATCCCTTTTTCTAGAGATTAGCAAGAGATGGAAAAAATCACAGGCAGTGGCCCTGGCCCAACCTAGAGAGCAGGAAGGCGGGGGAGGGGCCAGGCGGGCCATCTCTGCTGCAGACCAGCCGCACTATTGGCATGACACCGCATGACACCGTGACACCGCCCCGTGGAGAGGTAGATGGTCGTCCTCCAGGCTAGAGGAAAGAGGCGCCAGCCCCCAGCACAGCGGCACGGGACGGCGCAGCTGGCTGAAAGGCACAAGCTCACCCACAGCCTATGCAGCTCACACCGTGACCCTCCAAAATGGAGAGGTCACTCCAAGAACATGTAGCCCAGTGGAGACGACTCTCGTCCCAAGGCCCACTCACCACCAGCCTCCCGCGCACTGAGACACAGCACCCAGAACCAGGCTGTCACTGGCACCCACTTCCACAGGTGCAGCTTGTGCCTGTCCTGCCCCCCAGGCCATGGAAGGCGGGGAGCCGGGAGGAACAGCCCAGAGTGTGGATGAGGAGCTGGAGAACTGCAAGAGGGAAGAGGAGATAGAAAGACGAGAGGTTGCAAAGCAAAGTTTAAAAGTAGGTGAAGTTCAAACTTCTATCCAGGGGGGAAAAAAAAGACAGGGCAAAGGTCAAACCAAGAAAAGGTCCTTGAGAAGAAGGAAACTAAGCCCATGAGGAGATGGGGGAGGCGAGGCCACCACCCTACTTCCCGTGCAAGTCACTTAGCTCCACGTCATCCTTTCGGCGCTTATAGGTGAACAGAGAGGGCACAGGGTAGAGCTTTGCCTTGGCCTGGAAGCGGTGTCCGGCGATGTCAATCTCGTACTCGCCACGGTTGATGAAATCTGCTGTCACCACCTGCTCTTCCCCCGTGTCCTCAGAAAAGTTGTGCACGAAGCCCAGGCAGACATGACGCTCGAGCGTGTAGCCGTAGGCGCTGCTGGTGGTCTTGCCCACGTACCGGCCGTTGCGGTAAATGGGCTCCCCCCACCAGGGCCAGAGGTCCAGGTCCGTGTCGTGGTCATCCAGGATGAACATTGTCAAGCGCTTGTACACCCCGTTCTGCTTCTGCTGCAGCAGGGCCTCTCGGCCCATGAAGTCCATGCCCTAGGAGAGAGGGGCAGCTCATTGTGGGACCGTGTGCACCAGGGCCACTGCAGTGGGGGACAGTGCTTCCCACCATGAGGAAAACCCTGTTCACAACGCGAGACACCCTTAGGGAAGTCTTGTGACACACAAATACACGGTTTTCTTTTTTCCAAAAAGATTTTCAATTCCAAGACCACACAGGACAAAAAGTATTTAGGAAAAAATTGTAATTTAGACATATAAAAAGCAGAATAAGTAATCTCTGAGTAGATTAAAGATAGCAGCTCACAAAGAACACTGTAGGATTTACTGAGCTGGCAGGGAGTGCCGGCTACAGCGCCCACAGCATGAGGCGGGGAGACGCACCCAACTGTCTGGGTCTACAAAGAAGGGAGGGGAGTCACTGCCCAGTCTAAAAGAGGAGGCGCAGGTGGTTGAGCGCAGCGCTGTGAAGCTGTCCGCAGCCTCTGCAGCGCAGGTTCTATCCCGACCGGCCGGCCTGGGAGAAACCCACATGGCGAGGCAGACCTCTCCTGCCTCACCTGCTGCTCCCCCCAGCAGTGTTTTCCTCAGTCTGCCTTTTCTGCTCCCCACTTTGTCTCCAGTGAATTCTCTCACCCCTCCACACCCACGCCTCGGGCCTGTACCCCAGTTCTTGTATAAATAAATCTAAAATAAATAAATAAGGAAGTGCTCAAGACAAGGGTTGTCCGTTTACATTTTCATGTTAAGACTTTACCCACAGAGACATGTGTCGTCCTAAGAACATCCTACTCTTCATCTGCCCGATGCTGTCATGGGGCTCATGACACTTTTACACTTCTCCCTCCCACCTTAGCTCTCGTTTCTTTTTTAACGCAGGTTCACTGCCTGGGAAGCTGAGAGACCGCGGAGCCGCGCGGGCGCACAGTACCTTCTCTAATTTCACCCGCGACTCTCGTCCACATTCCAGCGGCGTGGTGAGCGTATTTAGATCCTGACCCCAGAAGGCGAAAAACTTCTCAATTCGGAGACTACGAAGCGCGTAATAGCCAGCATTGCGGATTCCGTATTTCTGCCCGACGCTCATCACCTCATTGTACACATGCAGGGCATACTGGAGGGAGAGACAGCAGTTAGTAGTGAGCGGGCCCCGGCACTGTACGCTGCGTGTGTCCGGCAGTGTGTCGGCGGACACTGGGAACCTGGGCAGGGAAGGAGATCGTCTCCCTTTAATGCAGAAGACCTGGATGGAGAAAACCTCGTAACAGTCCTTACCTCACTCCAGAAACACTGGAGTTTAAAAAAAAAAGGCACATAACCCAAGGCCAGAGCTCAGGCCTGCGGACTGGGGGCCTCCTCTGCCTCAGGAGCGTGAGAGCTGGGAAAGGGGCTTTTAAAAAAAGGCAAGACTTGGCAGCTTCCATCTATCGGGTTGTCGGAAAAGTCACGGCGCATTTTTGCAGCAGATGGCACTAGTTCATTTCTGGAAGTACTAGAATCATTCGCATCTATGTTATTGCTAGTCATTTGACAGTTGACAGTTCTAGCTTCGTTTGGAAAAAAAAAAATTGAACGATTTGGCTGAGTTTTGGAGATTTTACAAGTTGAAGATAGAAGACCAAGCTCTGCATTTTTGCCATATTTTACTGTTTTCCTTCTGTGAAGAGAAGAATGCTGTCAAGCTTGTAAAAAGTTGCATAAAGTTTACCGTTACAATGTTCTGCATGTACGTCAGGGCCAAAGATTGTTCAGGAAATTACTTGCTGGCGATTTTGATCTTATCGATGCTTCTCTGTCAGGGAGGCCCACTGAGGTTAATGATAACAAAATAAAGTCCTCGATCAAGTGAAACCCATGTACCATGACACTGGTTTGCAGAAACACTGAGTATATCCATCATTCAGGCATTCATGACCACCTGAAAAAGCTGGGACACGTAAGCAAGCTCGATATTTGGGTTCCTCATGAACTCGAAGTTCATTTGATAGTGCGGATAAACATCTGCGATATGCTCATTAAACGCGAGGAAAACGATCCTTTTTTGAAAGCAACTGTTAACTGGTAGTGAGAAGTGAACTGTTTACAACAATGTGGTGTGCAGAGTTTTGGTGCCGACATGATGGTTTGCGTCAAACGACATCGGAAGCAGACGTTCATCAGAGGAAGGTTACGCTCTCGGTGTGGTGGGATTTTGAAGATGCCTTGTTTTTCGAGCTCCTAACAAGGAACCAATCAATCAATTCCAATGTGTACTGCCTGCAATTGGATATCATTTGTACAAATCCATCATCCAGAAACATCACAACTCATTCATCGTAAAGGAGTTGTGTCCCATCATGACAACATGAGACCACACACCTTTGATCACCCGATCAAACGGATGGAATGTGTTGCCACATCCACCATACTCGCCTGACCTTGCACCACCAGACTTCCCCTTGTTTCACTCTCTGCAAAACTCCTTGCATGGCTTAACGTTCAATTCAGATGAAGCTAAAAATCAGCACCTTGTCAGTTTTTCACCGATAAAGACAAGTCCTTCTATGAATGAGGAATGATGAGCCTCACTGAAAGTCGGCAAAACGTTATCGAGCAAAATGGGCAAAATATGATTGATTGATCTTGGTTCTTTATATAAATAACCTTTGAAAAACAGAAAAAATGTTGTGACTTTTCCAACAACCCAGTACTTAGATCCTTGTAGGCCGCAGGCGTGCTGACTTGAGAGTCATCAGGAATGTCTCCTTGCTGACCAGGACCAGGGCCCAGGCCTGCGGAGAGCCCAGGGTTGTCACTGCACCAGGCGGCCTTGTAACAGCGGCTCAGGCCCGAGGCTGCAGAAATCTCAGGGAACCAGCATCAAGTCGGGACTGTATAACTAGCAGCTGCAATTTTTTTCCTACAAATACTTCTTCAAAAACAATTTGTGCTACTGTGCGCAGCACCCTGCCCCATAAGTGTGCCCAACAATGAAAACGAAATCTACTATTTTGAAAAGACACACTGTGTAAGATTCAATACATCATGTCAGTTCTCCCTGACACACAAATGCAAAACAAGTATACCATCAAGTTTGTTTTGTTTTGTTCTAATTCATATAAAGTTTATAAGAGAAAACAGGAACTTGTCCTTTTCCAGAATTTTCCAAGCTATGAGGGAGGATAAGCACTACTAAATACTCAAATACATAACAATCAGAAGTGTGATTAGGAGACAGACCAATAGAGCACCACACAGTCCAGGAAAAGCCCAGATACTTATGGGGATTTAACCCTTTGCACTCCGAACCATTTTACGATATTTTGATTTAATTTCTTGTGCCATTTCAAGATAAAACTTCAGGGAAACATGCATGTCTCAAAAAGTTGCATTGAAATAACCTCAATTCCCCGTAATCACTAATAAATTGCAATGTCCCCTGAGAGGGGACATCCCAGTGATATGCTAGAATTCCGATGTCCCCTGAGAGGGAACAGCGGAGTGCAAAGGGTTAATAACCTGTAAAAGTATAATTTCAAATCCTTTTTTTTGAGATTTATTTATTTATGCATAGGGGTACTGGGGTATAGGCCAGAGATGTGGGAGGGGGTGAGAGGATTCACCAGAGACAGAGTGGGGAACAGAACAGGCAGATTGAAGTACACTGCTGAGGGGAGCAGCGACAGAGTCAGGAGGGGTCTGCTGTGCCATTTGGGTTGCTCCCTGGCCAGCTGGGGATCGAACTTGTGCTGCAGCAGCTGCGGAAAGCTTCATGGGTTGCATTTTAACCCCTTGCACCACCAGGAAGGCCCAAATCAATTTTTTATCCAGGTAGGAAAAAACAGTTTTCAAAGTATACCAACAGACACTGCAAAAGGATCGAGTATTTCAACATTTTTAAGAAACCAAACCTATATAAACAGCAACAGCAGAAACTGTAAACACACCAAATGAAGACTAGGGAAATGTTACAGTCCTGCAGTTAGGAAGACCCTGCATCTATGAAACCTCAGAAGCCACAAAACACTGATCAGTTCAACCACATAATGAGAAAAATTTTCTGCAACGTTTTAAAACACTGTCCATAAAAAAAAGTAAAAATGGGCCTCCCTGGTGGCGCATGGGGTAAAGACGCAACCTGTGAAGATGTCTGGGCCGAGGAGAGGGAGAGAGCAGGCATAGAGCCCTGAGGCAGAAGCGTGTCCAGCATGTTCACAGACCAGCAAAGAGCGAGAGAGGTGAAGATGACGGTGATACCAGAACCAGGAGGTTAGGCAGACTGTGAAGGCCCTTGTAGATGGGTTTGTACATTGAAAGAAAGGTGGGTTTGGAAAAATTGCTCCATCTCATGCATTAGGGAAATGGAAACTGTCTGAGCAAGCTACTTTGCACCTACCAGACTAAAGTCTCAAAAGTGTGTACACACATGCTCTAAGTAAAAAGACTTTCTTCTATGCTGCAGCATTTTTTTATAATAGCAAAGGACTAGAAATGTCTAAATGTCTATTAGTACCAGGCTGGCTAAATCATGATTCAACTACCTGATGGAAAACTAGACCACTGTTAAACGTGAGAAAAGAGGAAAATTTTTTCTCTGTAGGCATGGATAGGAATGAGCTCTAAGCGAAACTTAGGAGAAAAAAAAAATGAGAAATGAAGATGAACAGCAGTTTGCACCTACTGGTTTCTAAAAACAGTATTCCAGGGCCTTCCTGGTGGCGCAAGGGTTAGGACGCAACCTATGAAACAATCTGCAGCCACTGCAGCACAAGTTCGATTCCTGGCCACTCAGGGAGCAACCCACATGGCACAGCAGACCTCTCCTGACTCACCCGCAGCTCCCCTCAGCAGTGTACTTCAGTCAGTCTGCCTGTTCTGTTCCCCACTCTGTCTCTGGTGAATCCACTCATCCCCTCCCCCCCCCCACACCTCTGGCCTGTACCCCAGCTCTTGTATGCATAAATAAATAAATCTTTTTTTTTTTTTTATTTTTTTTTTTTTACAATTTTTTTTTTTTTTATAGAGGCATGCTTTTTATTTATTTATTTATTTATTTATTTATTTATTTATTTATTTATTTGTTTTTGTTTATACATGCACTGGGTACAGTCAGAAGCGCGGGAAGGTGAAAGAATTCACCAGAGCCAGAGCGGGGAGCAGAGCAGGCAGAAGGACCGAAGCACACTGCTGAGGGGAGCAGCGGGCGGCAGGAGAGGTCTGCACGCCATGTGGGACCCTCCTCCGGTGGCCGGGGAGCAGCCGGGGATCGAACCAGCGCCGCAGAGGCTGCGGGCAGCTTCGCAACCCAGCGCTCAACCGCTGCGCCACCGGGGAGGCCCTAAATCTTTTTTTTTTTAAAAAGAGGGTCTCCCTGGTGGCGCAGCAGGTTGAACGCCACATTGTGAAGCTGTCCGCAGCCTCTGCAGCTCGGGTACGATTCCTGGCTGGCCAGAGAAAAACTCACTTGGCGTGGCAGACTCTCCTGCCTCGCCCGCTGCTCCCCACAGTAGTGTCTTTGGTCCGTCTGCCTGTTCTGCTCCCCATTCTGTTTCTGGTGAATTCTCTCACCCTCCCGCGCCTCTGACCTGTTCCCCAGTTTTTGTATAAATAAATCAATCTTAAAAAAAATAAGTATTCCAAATATGTCTTAGAACTTACTTGCACATACACAAAATCTCATGACATACAAAGACAAACATCACAAGTGGTGATTGGCACACACTGAATAGGTGGCAATGATTAACTTTTAAACCTTGTTTAAAAGTTTATAACCTGTTCAAAAAGTTAATAGTTATAGACGTAAAAATTTCTTTAATGAAACCCGCCTCACTTGCCCAGGCCCAGCCAGACAGGCCCATCCCCTGCCCGTGCTCTGGGTGGAGAGCTGGCTTGGCTCCTCGTGCACTCACCTCTATGGGGATGTAAAGCATGAATCCCGGCTCTCCCGTATGTGTCATGCTCATCACCCGGATCCCATTCGCATAACCCACACTCATCTCCTGTGGGTAAAGACAGAGAAAGTCAGCATGGAAACTTCGCAGGGGAAGTGGGCACTCCAAACACTGTTAAAGGGATGAGCTGAAGTAAATCCCTCTCATTAGCACTGCACCTTGTGTGCAGCCCCCTCCGAGGCAGAGAGACAGTAAACCAAAGAATTGTATCCTGGAACAGCCGCTTCCCAGGCAGTGGGGTCACGGGAATGGAGCACAATCTTCAGAGCCTCTCTTCTCAGGAATGTTGTGTCAGGAGTACTTTCCAAGCTGCTAGTGGGAAGTGGCAAAGCCCTGACTAGTATGAAGTATTTCTTTTTGCAAAGTGCTGCTGAAGATTTGTTTTACTCCAGCACGTTGTGAGCAATGAAGACCAGGCAGCTGTCTTCTCTGGGAGACTTGGCAGACAAGCCCTGGGTATGCGCCCCTCAAAAGATGATGCCCAGTGATCACAGAACACATTTCACCTGCTGCCCTGGCATCAGAGACCAGGATCTAATGTACAAAATGTATTTATAGCAGCTGTTACCTAATGGGCCACCGACTCAGCGGTTACTCCTCTAATGCAAAGTGGTTGAACCCCAGATGCTTCCACAAGAATCCAACAAAACAGGCTGCCCTGCAGCACCAGCATGTGGACCATTCCTTCAGGAAGCAAAGCAAGTGCTGTGAAGGGGTCCGCTGGCAGTGAACTGTGATGTTTCCTATTGCTTTCACTCTGCCTTGGAAAAAAATAGAAGCTGTAAAAGCAAATAGTGGGTGGACCCCAACTTTGGTTTGAATGTCAAAGCGCCTCCATCAGTTAAGTATCCTGCAGCTGCTTGTTACAGGTGCCAAAACCTAGGTCTGCCTCCCTCTCAGCCACCTCCGAGAGGGAGTTATCATTCCTTTTCTTCAATTACAATTTGTTTCACTCAGCTATAGCAAAGTAGAAGAAAATTACCTAAGTTGTTTAGATTCATCTAAACCACTTCTTGCCTGATGAGGCCACACACACAGCGGTTACTCTGTAGATGGAAAACAGGAAGGGGGCTGGGCCTTGACTGGCATTTTTTTTGGCATCAGTGTCATAATCCCGTAATTAAAAACTTTACTGCTACAGAAAGCAGTAAATATACAGAATTGATACTCGGTGCAGTTAAATTAATCTCCAAGAAATCCTAATGTTCATTAAATCAGGACATCTTGAAGGGTAAGAAATAATTCAGTCATTTTGTTTGCATAAGTTATCACTTTGTGGACATTTACAGCATGGTCCAAACAAGTAATTGGGCCTTCCTGGTGATGCAGGGGTAAAAGTCTCAGCATCATCAAGCTACCTGCAGCCACTGCGGCATGAGTTCAATCTCCAGCCAGGGAGCAGACCTCTCCTGCTTCGCTCACTGCACCCCTCAGCAGTGTATTTCAGTCAATACACCTATTCTGCTCCACATTCTCTGGTGAATCCTCTGAACCCCACACCTCTGGCCTGCACCCCAGCTCTTGTATGCATAAATAAAAAATAAATCTTTAAAAAATAAAAAAAAAAAAACAAGTAATTGCCATCTCTGTAAAAAACATTCCCCAACCATTTAAAAACTAGAACTTTACTAGCACCCACCTTGCAAAAGAGACTTGGAAAGTGTTCCGGAGTCATAGGGGCATAGGACAACTCGGACAGCACATCCACAGCTCGAGGACCAATCAGATTGAGAGCTACATGGGAAAGAGAGAGAGCAGTGTGGCCTCTGGGTGAAGCGCTGAGCGGAAGGTCTGCTCTGTGCCTGTGTGCAGGCCTGTGTGGTAGTAGGACAGTGAAAGCATCCCTTTTTGGGGGGAACTCAAGACTGGACACAGCATACACCCCACTCCAGACAGGCTGTCTGGTGCAGCTCTGACGGCTGGCTTGCCTTTCCTTTCCGGCTCCAGAGGAAGACAGCATCCTAGAGTCCCTCTTGCGGTCAGGCTGGCATCATGAGACCAAGTCCTGGCACAGGGAAGGAGCCACTTCCAGGACCGGCCATGAACCCTCTGCACAACCTCCATTTCCTTCCTCTTTCCACTGTGAGGACCTGATGGTGAAAGCTCCAACCCCACATCAGGACCTAAGGGAGCACTCGGAGGACAACCGCTCCACACCCTGTGGTAACCGCAGCTTGAGCTAGTTACACATAAACCACCCTCGCTTGGGCTAGCAAACAACTTTGGTCCAGTAAGATTCTGTAGTTTGCCAATCTGGTATAATAAGCCAGAAGTTGGCACTTGCTACAATTATTTGAGAATGAGTGTGGTGGGGGTGAGGGGCAGGAGTCTGTTGGGGAAAGCTGGAGTGGGGCAGCAGAAGGGGGTAGCTCCTTCAGCGGGACTGCAAAGGAAGAGATTAAGTCATCCTTAAAATTTACTCGGTTTTAAAAAAGCTAAGGGGACATTTTAAAGAAAATGTTACTTAGGTGATATAAAGGTATCTTGAAATGAATTCTCATTCAACAGATAAATTGAGTTCTCGCATACTGACTATAGGGCTCTAGCAGTGAAAAGACAGAAACTGAAACACTTGTTTTGCACTTGACTTATAAAAATGTGGGGGAATTATTAAAGACTAGTTTTCTAGAACCAGAGAGCCTCTTCCACACTTCTGAATATCAAAATGAGAAAGGCAAATAGAGAAGACCAGCCTGGATGGGCCAGCCTCTTCTCACCCAGCTGACCCCAGAGGCCACTTACCAGTGTACTTCCAGGTGACGTCCTCCAGAAGCAGGTTGCTGTCTTCCGGCATGTGTTTTTTAAGCCAGGCCCAACAATGGACCTGCTGGTCAGTTGGAGAAATCATGAAGAAACTGAAAGTGAGACCCAAAAGTGATCAAAACCAGACAGTAGAAGAGGACCGGGAAGCAATCAAGTCTTCAGCTGGTTTCAAAGCCATGAACAGAACACTGGCAAATCAACTCTCAGCCTTTGGGGGGGTCTGTAACATAATTTCTAGACTATACCTTCAAAACAGAAGATTCTGGATTCCTGTTAGTGCTCAGAGATTATACAGACCAACTAACCTAAGGAATCTTCTCACAGCTAGTTCTTCAGCGCCAAATTTTACATAATCACGTGAGTTTCTTTTTTTCTGAATTTCTTTTTGTACTGGGTTGTAAATGAACTGGCCATGAGTTAAATGTTTCTCTGACCGTGGTACAATTATGACTCCCTAGAAAAACAATTTGGGCGCTCCGCTCTGCCATGACACCCCCAGAAAGCAGCACCGAGGGGCAGCGGCAGGCCTAACCTGCGCTTGTTCAGCCGAGCGATGCTGCAGTCGTTCTCGTAGCCGCCGCGCTCGTTGAGCATGCCGGTGTGCACGATGTGGCCCACAGGCACGTCCAGGTCATTGGAGAAGAGGTACTGTAGAATTTCTAAGGCCTGATCCCCGGTGGACTGCAGGGTTAAGGGACAAAGCAGAGAGAGTAAGCACGAGAGCATTTGGGCAGCGTGGCCCGACAGGCAGTGCAACGCCTGAAAAAATTCAACGAGCCGGGACTCATGCAGCATGATCTGCGGAGTCGCCACTTGAAGAACCTGAGAACACTAGCGAGCGGTTCCAATAATAAATGGGCCTCTGCCAGGACATCCAAAGCCAGAAACAGCTGAAAGTTCAGAGATACCTTACAATACCGGTAAAACACTAAAATATACTGAAGTTCTTAGAGAATCAGTTTTGAAGTGACAGATGAAAAGCAGGATGCAGTCAATAAATATGCCATTTTTCTAATCTGTTATTTTTAACTCCCAAACACTTACTGTTATTTCGAACTTTGTGAAAGAGGACATGTCAATGACACAAACAGCTTCCTTACAGCACTTGACTTCAGACTCCACAATGTCAAACCAGTCTGGCTTATAGAAAGTCTTGCTCTGCTCCAAGGCTAGGAGGTCTACAGAACAGGAACAACAAAGAAAGACAAAAGGAGGGAATTTATATTGGGAACTATCCCTGTATAGTTCAGAATAATAGAACTGATTTTTGTTAACTATACTTTCAGGAACACATTTTAGCTCTATACATTCAAAAATAAGTTTTATTTTTATTTATTGGTCTAGGGGTTAAGTCTCAAAGCAATCACCACTGTGGCATGAGTTCAGTCCCTAGCCAGGGAGCTGACTACATGGTGCAGCAGACCTCTCCTGACTTGCATGCTGCTCCACTCAGCAGTTTATTTCACTCAATCTGCCTGTTCTGCTCCCCACTCTGTCTCTGGTGAATCCTCTCACCCCTTGCCTCTCTAGCTACACCCCAGTTCTTGCAAGCATAAAGATAACTTTTTTTTAAAAAGTTTTATTTATTTATACAAGAACCGGGGTACAGGCCAGATGCGGGAGGGGGTTGTGTGGTGAGAGGATTCACCAGAGAGAGTGGAGAGCAGACAGGCAGACTGATGAAACACACTGCTGAGGGGAGCAGCAGGCGAGACAAGAGAGGTCTGCCACACCGTGTGGGACCCTCACCAGCCGGCCGGGATCCAACTGGTGCTGCAGAGGCTGCGGACAGCTTCACGGTGCTGTGCTCAACTGCCTGCGCCACCAGGGGACGCCCGAAAAAAAAAAAATTTTTAAGAAAGCAAACACTGTACAAAAAATGAACCATGATGTAAAATAGAAATAATATTAAAGAAAAATATCTTTTAAAAAAATGAAGTTTTAGGGCCTCCCCGGTGGCTCAGTGGTTAAGCGCTGGGTGACTAAACTGCCCGCAGCCTCTGCAGCACCGGTTCGATCCCCAGCCCCCGGGCGAGGGTCCCACATGGTGCACAGACCTCTCCTGCCGCCCGCTGCTCCCCTCAGCAGTGTATCATCAGTCTGCCTGTTCTGCTCTCCGCTCTGGCTCTGGTGAATTCTCTCACCCTCCCGCACTTCTGACTGTACCCAGTGCTTGTATAAATAAATAAATAAATCTTTAAAAAAAAAAATGAAGTTTTATTCTCAAGACAAGAGAGAGAATGTGCCTTCTTACCTTTGTCTGGTGGCACAAAGTACTTTGGTCTCTCGAATCCATGTTTCTCCATCCATCTGGCTCCTTGTGCGTCCAGCCGGTCATAGAGAGGAGATGTGCGTAACTGCCTCCCAGTCTGGAAATCCCAGCGGGGAACCTTCAGATCACATAGCAGAGCTAGAACACATATAAACAGTTGTGAAAGCCCAAGCCACAGGGCAAACACCCAACATCCACTAGGCTCCAGTTCTCTCCATTCAGAAGAAAATGCTTTCCAAGCTAACACAGCCTGATTTGCCTAACAGGGCCCTGCATCACAGGCATGCTCCAGAAGATACACTGAGCAGCTGGAATAGTCCCTCCATGGACTTATAAGCTATGTATCCCCTAGCAACTCTGTCCTCCATTATCGTTCCAAATTAGCAATAGAAACAATGGGAGAAAGACCAAAATTCTGAACCGGACTAAGCTCCACAGCAGACATGAAGGTGATATCTAAGTGGGACACAGTGGCTACAAGTGTGAGAAATGACATCTGGTTCTTCCCAGAGCTGGTGCTGGTGGGATCTCAGACCTTTGACACACATTTCCTCTCCAATACTCAACCCAGTTCTGAAGTGAGAGGGTAACAGCATACCTAGATTTGGTGTCTCTGAAATCTGCACAGTACTGTCCCAGTGACATTTATCACATAACAAAGCTCAAGGTCAGAATTCACTTCTCCTAATGGCCAATCTGCAACAGCAGTACGTAAAAATAGCCAGGAAGAGTGTGATCTCTAGTCCCTTCCAAAGAGAAGACTTGACCTTACACCCTTCCAAACAAGAGGTACATGGGGGTGGTGAAGAGAAGGAAGCCATGCTGGTTTCCTGGTACTGTGACTATCTTTCAATCTCCTTAGGTATTTTACATTCTACTTTCCTCTTCACCATTGTCTATTTTATGGGAGTCAGAGAAGGCCTCCAAAAGTGCCATCCATCAAGAAGCTGCAGTTCAGTCATGATCTACACAGGTAGGTTCTACAATTAACAACAAATGGGGAAGGGCCTCCCCGGTGGCGCAGCGGTTGAGCACTGGGTTGCAAAGCTGCCCGCGGCCTCTGTAGCACCGGTTCGATCCCCGGCTGCTCCCCGGCCACCAGAGGAGGGTCCCACATGGCGTGCAGACCTCTCCTGCCGCCCGCTGCTCCCCCCAGCAGTGTACTTCGGCCCTTCTGCCTGCTCTGCTCCCCGCTCTGGCTCTGGTGAATTCTCTCACCCTCCCGTGCTTCTGACTGTACCCAGTGCATGTATAAACAAAATAAACAAACAAATAAATAAATAAAACATGCCTCTATTAATAAAAAAAAAAATTTAATAAAAAAAAAAAAACAAATGGGGAAAACTACACTTACAACAATAGTTGAATATTTCTTTTTTTTTTTTTTAAAAGATAGGTTTGGTTTTTTTTAAAGATTGATTTATTTATTTGTTTGTTTGTTTGTTTGCTTGTTAATACAAGCACTGGGTACAGTCAGAAGTGCGGGTGGGTGAGAGAATTCACCAGAGCCAGAGCGGGGAGCAGAGCAAGCAGAAGGACCGAAGTACACTGCTGAGGGGAGCAGCGGGCGGCAGGAGAGGTCTGCGTGCCATGTGGGACCCTCCTCTGGTGGCCGGGGAGCAGCCAGGGATCGAACCGGCGCTGCAGAGGCAGTGGGCAGCTTCGCAACCCAGCGCTCAACTGCTGCGCCACCGGGGAGGCCCTTTTCTTTCTTTTTTTAAAGATTTATTTATGCATACAAGAACTGGGGTACAGGCCAGAGGTGTGGGTGGTAAGAGGATTCACCAGAGAAAGAGTGGGAAACAGAACAGGCAGACTGACTGAAATACACTGCTGAGGGGAGCAGCAGGCAAGTCAGGAGAGGTCTGCTGTACCATGTGGGTAGCTCCCTGGCTAGGGATCGAACTCATGATGCAGTGGCTGTGGACTGCTTCAATGGTTGCGTCTTAACCCTTTGCGCCACCAGGGAGGCCCAATAGTTCAACATTTTAATCAAAACATTTGCTAAAAGTAAAGAAACTTAGTTACATGTAACTGCTGCTAGGTCCTTCATCTCCTATGGATGCAAGTTCTCTGACCCCGGCCAAAAGTGAGCACACAGGGTTAAAGGTCATCCAAAGGCCTCAACATGAATGTCAACAGTGGGTTCACAGCCAATGTAGAAACTTAGTCCTGAGTATAAACATGCCCCAAATATTTAGATGTATTTTGGCAAAGTCTGGTAATACATCTTCAGTGCAGGCAAAAGAAATTGAATTCTGGTTTGATCAATTTCTGATACAAAAGTCATCTTTAAGGGCTTACTGGCAAATAAATCAGAGACAGGTAGAATAAAAAATTAAAGGTAGAAAGGCCAATCTTTCAAAGTTGGAAGGAAGCAAGAGTAAGGAGGGAGCAGGAATGCATGTTTTGCAGTTAGCTGAGCTGTGCCCTCCTGCCTTGCTAGCACCTGATGGGCTAATACCAGAAGCCACTCAGAAGCTGAAACGCTGAGAATGACAGAGGTTTTCTACCTTGGAGCGCAAACTATGATTTCTAAGACCTAGTAGGGATGGAGAGCTTTCACTCTGACATAGGGTCTTTCTAGCAAAGTGGAAAGGAGGCACGGCTAGGAATATGAGAGAAGGTGCTGAGGCAACCTGACAGGAATCCAGCCTGGAAATCCTAATGTACTTTCCTTCCCCCAAAAGTAAACAAGGGATGACCTGCTTGAAGGGGGTGTCTGTAAATACCATGTGGGACATGACACGCCCAACAAAGCCCTAAAAACTCCAACATCAGAAGCCCAACTTGAAGCAGTGACTAAAGAACTGAGGGGGACTCCGCCCCTCTGCAGGATAGAGGCACCGGGGAAGGCAGTTAGGGTGACTGGGATAAAAAGTCACTTACGCATGACTTCCATGACCCGGTGGCGCAGGAAAGTGCGGCTGCTCTGGAGGGCACCAAAACGCTTCAAGTCCAATTCCCAGACATTTTCTGAGGGGTAACCATGCACCATCCACTCCGCAAGGTACCTGTTTAGATTTAGGGGATGGGGAGTCAGTTATGGGGCCTCCGATGTGATGCTCTCAGCACTTGTACTAGGAGTCAAGAATTACGAGATACAGTTTCTGGGTGACTTCCTCAACTTTTCTGAAAGAAACAAATGTAAATCCATCAATGGCTCTCCCAGGACTGAGGATTTTAGCTCCAAGAGAGTCCCTGGAAAGTGCTTAAGACAGAAGCCACAGCTATGAAGAGATAAGAATTAAGTACACATACAAATGCACTCTATAATTTATATATCCAGTGGATTTTTCCAGCAAAAACGTCACGTCAAGTTATGCAGTCATCTGACTCCATGTCTGTTCCCAATGTTTTTGGTGATTCCCCTTCCAAAGTGTTCTTAGCGATTCAGATCACTTAAGAAAAGTGACCTCATTAATTAAAAAAATTTTAATTGTGATAAAATACACGAACATAAATCAACCGTCTGTATTCTTCTACGTGTACACTTTAGAGGCATTAAGCACATTCATATTTTCATGTAACCATCAGCCCATGGTCCAGAAGTTGCTTCATCTTCCAAAGCTGCAAGCATGTATCTGCCAATCTTCTGTCTGTCTCCATGAACTGAATGGCTTTACCTCTTGTAAGGGGAATCACACAGCATTTGTCCCCTCATGACTGGCTTTTTATTAGTACCTACTTTTTAAATAAAAACATGTTAATACTCAGCAGCATCCTCTGTCTCACTTGTCATACTTGTTTCCAAATTCAAATAACATTCAAAGGACCAGCTTAGTTACCACTCATAGAGGACAAAAGATGCGCCAAAAGGCACTGTGGCTAGCTCCGAAAAAGAGTTATAAAAATATTTTGCACAGCATTTCTGGAATATCAGGAGTTTCCTGTGATGATTACTTTGAAATGGGCAACTCTCAAATTACATGTATCTTATTGGTAGCATGCTAGAAAAAACATACTCCATATCAACAAGTAATTCTAGAAAGGAAGAAGCCTAGCAAGTGAGTCAGTGAGACTTACTTTCCAGCCCCTCCACCAAATGAAAGGCCAGCAGAGTTCATTCCTGCCAGCACGAAATAGCCCTGGACTGAAGGAGACTCGCCCATGATGCATCTCATGTCTGGTGTGAAGGTCTCGGGGCAATTCACCAACTTCATGATCTCCAGAGACTCCAGTTCTGGCATCCTACGCAGGAGGGAACTCAACAGCGGCTCTAAGCAAAAACAAACCCAAACAGAGTCCTCAGCTTTAGGGAACTCAAAACAACTTACAGTTTTCTATATCCTCTCCTTTCAAAAAATCTCTTGGAAGAGGCTTTCTAAGATGGGTCAAATGGGCCATTTACCACAAAGCAGAAATCTTTGTGGAATGTTAGGACACCCCTATGCAGCAATGGCATAAAGACCAGAAAAATGACTTAGAAAGGAAAGGAGCAATGGAAGCCATAGTGGCTATCTTGTGTGACCAGCACACACGAAGGTTCTTTAGCCGCGTCTGCAGAGACGCACTGAAAGGCGCCCTGTCCCTAGGTTGGAAGAGCTACAAAAGCTATTCCAAGTCCTCAGCCTGTTTTAATATAATTCCACTGGCTGGGAATTATCCAGTGGGATGGGGTAGATGAAACCAGACTAAAGCTGGTTGGTAGATACAGGGGAATTTCTGTATACTATTCCCTCTGCTTTTAAAAGTTTTTAAGTTTCCCATAGTAAAAAATTTAAGAAAAAAGTCCATTAAGGGAAATTTTTCCACAGAGACCCTTTGATATCTTTTGAATTTCCATTCATGTGACTATACTATTCAATAAATAAAATTTAAATTATTTTAAAACTGAGTGAAAGGTCAGATTAACAATTCTGCGTCTAAAATTCTCTTCAGGGCCTCCCCGGTGGTGCAGCGGTTGAGCGCTGGGTTGAGAAGCTGCCCGCAGCCTCTGCAGCGCCGGTTCGATCCCCGGCTGCTCCCCGGCCACTGGAGGAAGGTCCCACATGGCGCGCAGACCTCTCCTGCCGCCCGCTGCTCCCCTCAGCAGTGTACTTCGGTCCTCCTGCCTGCTCTGCTCCCCGCTCTGGCTCTGGTGAATTCTCTCACCCTCCCGCCCTTCTGATTGTACCCAGTGCTTATATAAATAAACAAACAAATAAATAAATCTTTTTTAAAAATAAATAAATAAAAATAAAATTCTCTTCAATTTTGGGCCTCCCCAGTGGCGCAGCAGTTGAGCACTGGGTTGCAAAGCTGCCCGCAGCCTCTGCAGCGCCGGTTCGATCCCCAGCCACCAGGCGAGGGTCCCACATGGCACGCAGACCTCTCCTGCCGCCCGCTGCTCCCCTCAGCAGTGTACTTCGGTCCTTCTGCCTGTTCTGCTCCCTGCTCTGGCTCTGGTGAATTCTCTCACTCTCCCATGCTTCTGACTATACCCAGTGCTTGCATAAATAAATAAATAAACAAACAAACAAACAAATAAATAAATCTTTCTTAAAAAAAAAAAAAAAGTCTTTAAAATTCTCTTCAATTTTATATGATTTCTTACCAAAATGTTTCCTCCTAGCCTAGAAACGTCAGCGATGATTTTTAGGTGATTAACAGGTCAAAAGTCTTTTAACCAAAATTTTGATATTAGTTCACTGAATTGCTAACCGGTATCTACATCCTCAGGCCAGGTTGCTCTTTATAACCACCAATGGGGTTCCTATAAAGATCAAATAGCAAACTAATTTTGAAAATGCTTTAAAAAATGTAACATCTTAATAGTGGTTGCCAGAGGGGAGGGAGGCTGGGAATGAGTTAAAATGGGTGGAGGGGGTGACGAGGAACAAACTTCCAATTATAAACAAGTCATGAGGATGTAACGCACATGGCAGCTGTAGTCTGTAATACTGCAGAGCACACCTCAAAGTTGCTAAGAGAGTAAATCGTCAAAGTCAACTTTGAATGGTAACGTGGTAACTAGACTGACTGTGGGTCACGATGCATCCCAATATTGAATCACTATGTTGTACACCTGAGACCAATATAATGTTATATGGCAAAAAAAATTTTTACATAACATCTTAGGCAAAAATAAGCCATTGCTGGTATAATCTAGTTCACATACCAAAGTGGTCCCAGTCCTCCTGTAGGTTTTGAATCTCCAGTTGGTTCTTGCCCTCAGTGAAAATTGGTTTTGGATTCTTCTCAAAGCCCCCAGACAAGATACCACCCTGCCAGCTCCGAATATAGATTCTTCCATCAGCATCCACAATAGCTGAGGAAGAGAAATGACAAGGGAGTGGGAGATAGAAGAGAAAAACAGGGTTCAGAGGCAAGCCACCCTTCTAAATCGACAGAAAAATAAAAGCAAACTGCCCTTAATGGCCTTATTAATGAAAAGCATCCAACGAACACAGGCATTAATTAGCTTTAAATATATTGTTTGAGGTCAATGGAGCAGGAGTCTCTCTCTCAGATTTAAAGTGGAGACGGGGTTTCTGATTATCTCCAGTGATCAGCTACCTAGAAGCAGGACCAGTTCTCACAGCCAAACAAATATAAGTGCCAATGTGCCACGTGGGAATGTAACGGGATTTACAGAGCCTGGTGCTAGAGAGCAAGACCTCCAAAATGTTATCAAAACCCTCTCCCATGGTGCTTGGAGTCGCTGAACAATCAGGTTTATAACTTAGCTATGACATTTCTACAGCACATAGCATTTAAGTCAAAAATTCAAGATTACATTCCAAATAGTTTCAATTTAGATCTCAGATGCTACAATTAGCTTGCAAAACAAAAACAAAAATGCTTAGGTGGAATGCCCATTTGGCCAGCCTTTCAAGAAGAGCTATCAAAGTAAAGTTAGAATTGGGTGCACCTTCCTGTAACAGGCTCCAGAAAAGATGAGACTCACGCACAATCTGTCCTTAGCAGAAAGTCTTTCTTTCCAGAGGACAGAATGGCAAGGAAACAAGATTAAAAACAAAGTGCAAGTCCTCACTTGGTGTGTTGCTCTGCAGAGGGGTCTCCAAGGGGCGAGTCAGAAGGTAGAAGTGTTCGCAGGCATGTAACGGGATACTAACCGGCTCCTCGTTGGACAGACCCAGCTCGTATGCCCACTACAAATGGACAGATTTATTTGTAGGTGGGAAGAGGAACAGAAAGACAAATGAGCTAGTTCAGCCACTTGAAAAGAGTTTAATTTCAAGTGGCTCAGGTGTGCTCTTGCTACAATGTCAGGTGTAGGAAGCCAAGTTTCAGCCTGCTTCAGTTCAATTGTTTGGATAGGGACAACACTACACTTTTTAAACCATAATAGTTACTCTAAGATCAAAGATTACCAGCTAGTAAAGGAGCTCACAGGGAGCAAATGAGGCCCTTTTAAGGAATTGCCTGGCCTCACTACAAAACCCAAGCATGAATCATAAAGGAACTTCCCATGGTCACTTTAAGATCATAGAGGGGAAAGCAAGGGACCAACATGCCTTAAAAGAAGCAACTGTTGGGCCTCCCCAGTGGCGCAGCGGGTTGAGTGCCATGCTGTGAAGCTGTCCACAGCCTCTGCGGTGCAGGTTTGATTCCCGGCCGGCCAGGGAGAAACCCACATGGCGTGGCAGATCCCTCCTGCCTCGCCCACTGCTCCCCTCAGCAGTGTCTTCGGTCCATCTACCTGTTCTGCTCCCCGCTCTGTCTCTGGTGAATTCTCTCACCCTCTTGTGCCTCTGACCTGTACCCCAGTTCTTGTATAAATAAATGGAAAATCTTTAAAAAAAAAAAAAAAGCAACTGTTCTAGAAACAAAACCCATGCTCATGCTCCTCACACAACAGAAGAACCTGGTGCTTTATTTGCTGGGTTGTAGAATGAAATGAAACACCACAGACAGACCCAACACCAAGGATTTTTGTCAGTGCCCAACTGCTTCCTTCCTGACCAAAGTAGCACAGGTCAGCCCACAGAGAGGAAGGAAAAGGTCATAGGTGCTTCCACTGGAGAAACAGATCCAGATTTCTGGAGTATTCAGGTTCTTGAGTTTTCCAGTTCCAACAAGAACGTATGGCCCCTGATATCTGTTTAGCCCTTCACACTATTAATGCAATGACACCAAAAAATCCTAGAGATCAAAGCAAGAAAATCAGTGACCCAGTATTGTCACTAACCTACCTGACCAGCACAGTTGACAAAATACTGGCATTCAATCTGGCCTTTGTCAGTCTCCACGCCAGTGACTTGACCTTTTTTGACCATTACATGAAGGACACTTGTCCGGTCGTAGATCTGAACACCTGTTCCAAGGTAAAGAAAGAGTTTGGTATATCCACTGTGTCATGTTCCAGATTTTTCCATCTCCAACAGATTCTCATAAACACTGAAAAAGCCAGGTCAATGCTTTAATTTAAAACAAACAAACAAACAAACATACAAAACCACTCCTAAGAACCATGTTCTGAGACTGTGTAAATGGGCCTCTCCCCCAAAACTGGAAAGAGCAGGCCAATTTAAAAAACGACTATAGAACATATTAAGTTCAAGGAATAAGAAAAGTGGTAGAGGCCAACACATTCAAACAGGGTCTCAAATCCTAATCTAGCCATGTTGTGCATCTCTAGACAGTGGTGAGGCTTCCCTTCCTCCCTTCCAACACCAGAACACCATCTTAGCTGTGGATTAAATCCCCAACATCTGTTCCAACCTTGGAGCTCTCAATTCCTGCGGGGGTGGGGAACTCCTTAAGTATGAAGTGCCTTAGTCAATACTAAAAGCTGTTCCTTAGAAATTTAATAAGAAAAATATGGCCCTGAGGGAAATTATTAACAGATGTTATAACAAAAATTTTAAGAGCCAGTGTTCAGAAATGGAAGCTAAGACAGTGTCATTCCCTACCGTAAACACGTTCTCAGATTGCTCTTCCTGCCTAACCCAAAACCTGCTTACCATTTTGGGAGGCAGCACTTGCCAGGGCAAGAGCCACATCGGCGGAGGATACCACTGCATCCTCAGGAACATGCATGGCCCCCACCAGGTCGTGTACATTGAGGAGAGGGTGAAGTTCAGCCACTTTCTTGGGGGAGATGATCTCAGAAGGGATGCCTATAACACTGCCACAGAATACAAGAGGACAATGACATTCACTGACCTGGCAGCAGAGGTCAGTTTGACAATAAATTCAGGACAGGCTTCTAGGCTCATACGTACTTCAGCCTTGAGTTGATGCGCTTCAGGGAGATCAGTCGGTCCTGTGTTTGAGCCAGAAAGATGGAACCTGTCTGTATGTAACCTGTAAGAAAAGCCAGCCTGAGCTGATACAGACTAGGACAAATGTAAACCCACTCAGTTCAAAGTCAGAAGACCTGTGATGAGTCCTGGGACTGCCACTTTCAACCCTGGACAGGTAAATGAGCTACCTCTGAACTGCTAGTCAACATGAGAAGCATGCCCGATGCGCTATTAGCTTCCATTCCCTAGCCATACATTCTCACTCAGCTTTTTGAGCTCTAGTGAGATGTGCATAAAATAACTCAAAAATGAAAGACACCTTTGTTGAAGTCTCTTGGGGGAGGATGTAACCCAGAATCCATCTCTATTCATCACTGTTTTTTGGCAGTTTAATTCTTCCTCCCAGTTTTGGTGGGAGTGTAACCATGGGTGAAGCTCGCTCACATCAGCCCTCAGGAGGTGGGCCCTCCCTCTCCTTCACCAGCACAAGCAGCGGACATGTGACCAAAGTTCAGCCAATTGCATACTCCTTGAACACTGTCTGGAGCAAGCACCAGCATCCTGGTCAGACTATTTCTGTTTCAGCTGAAGAGCAGTCTGCTCTAGGGACCCACAACCAGGCGTCTACAATGCCTCCAGCTGGAAGCCTTCTGCCAACTACAAGCCTCCAATGACCTTCCAACTCCTCCTGTACCCAAGTTAGCCAGAATCAATGTCTGTTGTTTACAATCAAGACGCCTGATACAAGCATTATTACATGTATGTCAGTGAAAACCCTCCTAAAACGCAGGGACTTTTTGTTCTAATGAAGAAAAAGCTGAGTCCACTAGGTGTATTTTAAAAAGGAATTACAGTGAAAATAATTTAAATATTAATTTCTTTTGAAATAATCATAAAAATATGCCCTTCGGGGCCTCCCTGGTGGTGCAGGCGGTTGAGCGCAGCACTGTAAAGCTGTCTGCAGCCTCTACAGTGCCGGTTCTATCCCCGCCGGCCTCGGAGCAACCCACGCGGCAAGCTGACTTCTCCTATCTTGCCTGCTGCTCCCCTCAGCAGTGTATTTCATCAGTCTGCCTGTTCTGCTCCCCACTCTGTCTCTGGTGAATTCTCTTACCCTCCCTCACATCTGCCTATTCCCCGGTTCGTGTATAAATAAAATTTAAAAAAATATGCCCTTCACTGACATGACAAAACTATCCCAATTGAGAGAACTAAAAATTCAGAGCATGGTTTATAAAAGAGAATGCGCACCAGACAAGTGCAGTGATCTTGGCCAGTGACCTGTGGGCTGACCACACTCTACATGTGCTGGTACAACAGGGTTCAGCAAGTTTCATTTTCTACTAACTACCAAAGATTACATATAGGAGAGTACCCCTGTATGTGAATCTGCCTAACACGACACGTTATACCATGTTAAATCATGCACCCCAAAACAGAACTACGTTAACAGTTATAACCTATTACAAAGATGGAAATGTCACTGTTTTCTACAGAGAACTTTTAAAGTTTGGTTTAGAGAAATCCTGGCACACAATTTGCTTTGTCAAAGGTTAACAGTCATAAAACAGAATGCTTACAAATCAATAAAAGGTAGATATAAAATATTAAAAGGCAATTCAAGAAGAAATATAAATAGCTAGTAAACCAATAAAACAATGTTGGACTGAATGAAATGCAAATTAGAATCCACTTTTTTTCCATTAGATTAGCAAAAATTAAAACAGCTCATGCTGAGAAGACTGTAAAGAAGTAAGTGCCCTTAAATGCTGATGGTAAGCAGGCACAGCCCATCTGAAGGATGCCTTGGTAGTGTCTACCCAATTTTCTATCAAAGTTTTAAGTATTCACACCCTCTCCCAGATTATCCATCTTCTAGAAGGCTATCCTTAGAAACAGCAAGAGAAATAAAGATATACAGACAAGGATCTTCACTGAATCATTTATAAAGAAAATAAAGGAAACCTGTGAATATCAGGGAGCAGGGGCTGGAGAGACAGCGGAACGCACACACTAGGGAGCAGCGCTCAGCAGCTATGAAGGATGGACAGGCCTCTTGTATTTGCTGGTTTGGAAAGCAGCCTGTACTACATGTTTACTTAGCTAGTATGGAAAATGTTACTATATTTGAAGAAACAAGAAATAAGTACCTAACAGGTAAAGAATTAACAAATGCAAAAGAGGGCATAAAAACCACATAACTGACAAAATGCAGTAAATTTCTCTGAAAATATAAGCCAATAAGTTTGTGGTCAGTTTGGTTTTTTTTTTTAATGTTTTTTAATTAATTTATTTATTTATACAAGCACTAGGTACAGTCAGAAGCACGGGAGGGTGAGTGAATTCACCAGAGCCAGAGCAGGGAACAGAACAGGCAGACTGACGAAACACACTGCTGAGGGGAGCAGCGGGCGTGGCAGGAGAGGTCTGCACGCCATGTGGGAACCTTGCTGGTGGCAGGGGATCGAACCAGTGCTGCAGGGGCTGCAGGCAGCTTCGCAGCCCAGCACTCAACCGCTGTGCAACCAGGAGAGGCCCTGTTTGTGGTCAGTTTGGAGAGCAGCCATGGAGGTGAAGAATATGACTCACTGAATAAACCTCAATTATATGTACGCCAGTGGTTCTCAGGCCTGCCTGCACATCGAAACACCTGGGAAGATTTCAAAAATTGCCTGTGGTGGGCTTCACCCCCAAGATCCTGATTCCATGGGTCTTGATTGAGGCCAGGACATGGGTAATTGTAAGGCGAGACAGTTCTCAATCCTCACTATACATCAGCCGAGAAGCTTCAAAAATTATCGAGGCCCAAGGCCTACCCCAAGTCCACAGACTAGACTACAAATGAGAATCTGAGATTGGGATGCTTTACCATGCCCTTTTTTTCTGAAGCATCTGAAAGGGAGTTGCAGGCGCTGGGCTGCTATTCCTAACTACTTCAGTGTGCATTTCCTAAGAATACACACATTCTCTTACAGAATCCGAGTACAAAATCAGGAAAATTAACAAATAACATCATCTAATCCAGAGTCCATATCTAAATGTTTATTAATTGTCCTTTATAGTTCTTTTTGCCCTCAGCCTAGGGTCTCATCCAGGTCAGGCAGTGTATTTACTTGTCATGTCTCTGGTCTTCCATTCGGGGCAACTCCTTACTCTTTTTCTCCTTGACCTTGATGTTTCTGAAGAGCAAAGGTTGGACATTTTACAGACTCTATAAACTTGGATTTGTCCGATGGTTCCTCATGATTAGATGCAGTTTATGCATGGCGCAGGAAACCCCCACAGGTGATACCACTGCCTTCCGTGATTACCGACTGTCCCACTACTGCTGACATTAACTCTGATCATGTGGTTAGGGGATCTCTGTCAGGTTTCTCTGCTGTAAAGTTACTATCTTTCCCTTTGTAATTAACAAGTAACTTGTGGAAAGGTAACTTTTAGACTAAATATCCTGTCTCTTCTTCAAATTTTTGCCCAGTAGATACAGCATCAATCGATGTTTGCCTGAGATTACTATGATGAAGGCCAAATGCGGGGATTTTCTAATTCCATAATTCCTTTACATTTATTAGTTAACATTCCTTAACAAGGTACAGATTTCCATTCTTCTTAATTTATATTTTTACTTATTAATATGAAATCATGGACTCTTATTTGATACAATGAGTTATAACCCACTGCTCTCATTTATTTTATTTCAAATAGTGACGAGTCCCTCAAGTTGTTTCCTGTGTCCTTTGTGGCATGTCTCCATCTTTCTGGGAGCACTTGCTTAACTCCCTGACATAATAAACAATTCTGGGCTCACTAATCTGCACCAGTCAGGAAATCAGGGAAAGGTATTTCACAAAGAAACTCTGAGGCTTCCCTGGTGGCACAAGGGGTTGTCTCAGCACTATGAAGCTATCTGCAACCAAGGAAGCGCAAGTTTGATCCCTGGCCAGGAGCTAATCCACATGGTGCAGCAGACCGCTCCTGTCTCGCCCACTGCTCCCCTCAGCAGTGTATTTCAGTGGATCCACCTCTTCTGTTCCCCACTCTGTCTCTGGTGAATCCTCTCAATCTCCTGCACCTCTGGCCTACACCCAGCTCTTATATGGATAAATAAATCTTTAAAAAACAAAAACAAAACTCTGAAACTCCCTTTTAGGAGGAAATGTCTTTTTCAACCAAGATCTGGGTACTAAGTGTGCTCATGCTATTGGGGTGCCATTGTCTTTAAGCCCTCTCAGTTGACAAAGCTGGAAATTTATCCATGAGACTTCACACTCAACTAAAAGTCACGACCTAATACCGACACATCCTGCTGTAGTCTAGCCCCATGGGGGTGACACAGTCATCTTCTTGTCCCTATTGTGAATCCCTCTCCAATAGTTAGAAAGCTGCTTCTCTTTATCCCACTGTATTTACTCTTTTGCTCAATCCTAAAATACCCAGAAAGCAGAACTGTTCATACCATTAAGAAAAACAGACAAATTTTTTTTTTTTTTGGTAGAGGAGGGGGCGGAGCAACATGGCGGCGAGGAGACGCTGCAAGTAAGATCTCCCATTAAAAAAAGTTAATAGGGGGCCTCCCCGGTGGCGCAGCGGTTGAGCGCTGGGTTGCGAAGCTGCCCGCGGCCTCTGCGGCGCCGGTTCGATCCCCGGCTGCTCCCCGGCCACCGGAGGAGGGTCCCACATGGCGCGCAGACCTCTCCTGCCGCCCGCTGCTCCCCTCAGCAGTGTACTTCGGTCCTTCTGCCTGCTCTGCTCCCCGCTCTGGCTCTGGTGAATTCTCTCACCCTCCCGCACTTCTGACTGTACCCAGTGCATGTATAAACAAAACAAACAAACAAACAAACAAATAAATAAATAAATAAACATGCCTCTAAAAAAAAAAAAAGTTAATAGGGAGGAAAAGCGGCAGGTCCCAGTGAGAACTGGGACACGGAAGATAAACGGACGACTCCAGCAAACTACCCGAAGAAGAAAGTTACCATAAAAGAGGACTAGAAGGGAGGAAAGCGCAGAACCCTGCTCCCCTCCCCCGCCCACAGAGGCGGCACTCTCCGACCAGCAGAG